TAGCATCGATGTTGATAGCACAATTCATTTTGGACTTTTGTTTTCACTGTGAGGGAATTTGCCTATATCTCTTCGCAGTTATTTTCAATTTAATCGCTGCATTGATTTATATGGCATACTAGATTAGTTTTTCTTTTCGCTTTTGTTACATTCTTATAAAGATGAGAGTTTTGTGCGTTGTTGGTAAGTGACCTATTAGTAGCACAACGACTGTGGATCATATGCAGTTAATGATAGTGAAGAGTCAACTTGGCGTCTTTGGTCATGTTTTCCTTTATTTCTGCTTCGCTGCGTGCATAATCCTATATCTATTCAATAAGTCCCTTTGCGAACTATATATAGCCAGCACATTTTCTGTAGACCTCAGCTTATTCAAACTGGGCAGTTCCCGCCACCTGTTCCATGAAAAGCTGGTCATGCCAACTTGCTCATGGTTGGTTTGGTGAGTATGTATTGCGACTTTAAAGCTTAACTGTTGTTGCTCCTGTCTCTTTTCATGTTGTGAGGTAATGGGGTTGCGTGTGCGAGCTAGTCAAGTTAGATACGCCTTAGGCGCTTTTATCAGTTTACTAGAGTGGAGTATCTCGAGCTATAATCTATGATAAGATCCACATAATTTTTTAGTTGTGAGTTCTCCAGCTCTTAAAATTGAGCGCCCTCGCCTATATTAAATACAAGGATTCCAACTGTTTCTTTTTGCGTTCTTCCCTTTATCTTTTTCACTTCTGGGCGTTATTGAACGTCACTAATGTGGAGTGTTTATAACACAACACTGGGCATCTCAAAAGCATTGAGGTAAGCTAAGGCAAATAGTTGTGGTGGTCGTCTTAATTAGACAGGTAACTATCTGGAAACTGCATCGCTGGTGCATCATCTCACTGCGAGATATGTCTACGAGCTGCTGGTTTTATGTCGAAATGACATGTGTCCAAATGGCTGTTCATCTTCCAGTCTGGCCTAGAAATTGAGTCTTGAAATGTTTTTATTGGTTAGCACTATTCACCTCCCTATAGCACTACGAACAGACGTATCAGATAGAGGTTCTTAGTTAATACATCCTACAGATTATGCATGTTCACAATTGCCACTGATATTGATCGTATCAGTAACTGTCATGTTTATAGTTTGAAAATGTAAAACCATCCAGAACACTAGATTAAACCCCATTTTTCAGGGAATTGTAATGCTGTACTTGCTAGAAAACCTGTTGTGGATTGTTCAAATCATCTCTCATAGATTCCGAGTCGACAAACCATTGATACTAGTTAATTCCAGATGAATCACATGCATCTCACGAACGACTTTTCTTCTACCCGTCTCTAATGCCTTATCCGTTGTAATGCGTAGCCTTTAGCTGCGAAGATGCAAAATTGAGAAGAAATTATTGAGAATGTTTTAAGATTGATTTTGAAGGCTAAAACTGTTTATTGAATTTTAGACAGATTAATTTAATGTTACAAAATCAAACTTTGTAAACGAGTCTTTTGAGACTGCTGCTTCGTTTCCACCAGGGACTAATCATGTTTATTGTTCTCACACCTATAACATGTTATAGTAGTCTCTCGGCTTTGTTTCTCCCATTATTCTTGTTTTATCTCAATATACCTGTGTTTTGTGCAATGTACAGAGCACACTGAATAATGGAAATGAATTTTTTTTTATTATGAATAGAGCTGTCACCATAGAAGAATTAGAACTGTATATAAAAAGAAAATGTCCATCAGAGTAATACACATTAAGAAATACAGAAAAAATATTCAGAAGAGAGGGACTTTTCAAGAAATGATAGAGGATTTCAAATTTAATTTAATGGTTTATTATTTTTGGGGAAGTCTGTTGTCCTGACTACTATAGATATGACTGTTGTACATTTCTAAACAGACAGAATATTTTAAAGTATTACCAATACAGTCAATACATATATTCATATTCATGCTGAAGAAATAGTAATACCTTATTTTCATACCAGAATGAAAAGTCTTTACTGCAATAGAAAATGATGATGATAGATCTACAAAAAAAATATATATATATATATATCACGTGCAGAAGACTACAAAGAGAAATGAAGCAACAGCATCAGACACACACTAGACAGCGCTACGTTGTTGTCGGCTTCATCACCTTATCTTGTTGGATGTTAGATCTTTGTCATTGCATGTCCTTTTTTGTTTCTTCTATGGTCTTACTTTTCATCTATTATTCTTTATTCTTTGGTTATTTATTTTTTATCTTGTTTCTCTCTTTTTCTTTCTTTTTCCTCACTTGACTTTCATTTTTCTTTTCTAGCCGTTTTTCTTTATTTTTCTTAATCCTTTCATTTTATCCCTCACTCACCCCTTCCTTTCTCACACTCTCTTTTTCTCCCATCTTCCCCCCTTTTCTTCCCTACTCTCTTCTACCTCTCAATACTCATCTCTCTCTCTATTTCTCTCTCTTTCTCTCTCTCTCATTCTCTCTGTCTCTATCTCCTCCCATTCTCTCTCTCTCCATCTCCTCTTCTCTTCCATTCTCTCTCTTCTCTCTCTCTCTCTCTCCTCTCTCTCTTCTCTCTCTCTCTCTCTCGCTCTCTCTCTCTCTCCTCTCTCCTCTCCTCTCCTCTCTCTCTCTCCTCTCCTCTCTTCTCTCCATATCTCTCTCTCTCTCTCTCTCTCTCTCTCTCTCTCTCTCTCTCTACTCTACTTCTCTCTTCTCTCTCTCTCTCTGCTCTCTCTCTCTCTCCTCTTTGCTTCTCTCCATTCTCTCTCTCTCCTCCCTCTCCCTTCTGCCTCCCTCCCTCCATGCCGCTCTCGCGCCTCGGACACGAACTCCTCTTCTACGCAAATCTCTCTCCTCTCTCTCTCTCTCTCTCCTCTCTCTCCTCTCTCTCTCTCTCTCTCTCTCTCTCTTCTCTCTCGGTCTCTCCGTCTTCTCATTGCATCGTCTCTCAGTTCCATCCCTTCTACTCTCTCCTCCTTCTCACCTCTCCCTCTCCTCTCCCTCTCCCCTCCCTCTCCCTTCTCCTCATCTCTCTCTCTCGCAAGCCTCATCCTCTATCTCTCTCTCACTCATCTCGTCTCCTCTCTCTCGTCCTCTCCTCTCAAGTGCTCTCCTCTCTCATCTCTCCTCTCTCACCTCCTCTCTCTCTCTCTCCTTCTCCCCCGTCCCTCCCTCCCTCCCCCCTCCCTCCTCCTCGTCTCCCCTCTCATCTCCCTCTCCCTCCTCTCCTCTCCCCCTCCCCCCCCCTCTCCTCGTCTCCCTCTCCCCCTCCCCCCCCTCTCTCTGCTCTTCCCTCTCTCTCTCTCTCTCTCTCTCTCTCGTCTCCTCTCTCTTCATCTCATCTCGATCTCTCTCTCTCTCTCTCTCTCTCTCCATCGTCTCTCTCGTCTCTCATCGTCCTCCCTCCCCCTCTCTCTTCTCTCTCTCTCTCCCTTCCTCTCGCCTCTCTCTCTCTCGTCTCTCAATCTCTCTCTCTCGTCGGCTCTTCGTCTCTCTCCTCTCTCTCCTCTCTCTCTCTCTCCTCTCCTCGGCCTTCTCTGTCCTCCTCTCTCCTCATCTCTCTCGGCCTGCCTACTCACGCCTCGATTCGCTCACTGTGGCCCCTTCCCGATACGCTCCCTCGGCTTCTCTCTCTTCTCTCTCTCCTCCCTCACTTTCTCGCGTGTACTGCGGCCTCCCAACCTCGCCTTCCCTCCCTCCCTCCACCTCCCTTCCCTCGCCTCTCTCTCCTCTCTACTCTCCTCTCTTCTCTCTCTTCGTTCTCTCTCGTCTCTCTTCTCTCTCTCTCTCTCTCTCTCTCTCTCTCTCTCTCTCTCTCTCCCTCTCTCCCTCTTTTTCTCTCTTCTCTTCTCTCTCTCTCTCTCTCTCTCTCTTCATCTCTCTTCTCCTCTCTCTCTCTCTCTCTCTCTCTCTCTTTCTCTCTCTCTCTCTCTCTCTCTCTCTCTCTCTCTCTCTCTCTCTCTCTCTCTCTCTCTCTCTCTCTCTCTCTCTCTCTCTTCTCTCCCCTCCCTCCCTCCCTCCCTCTCCTCTCCTCTCCTCCTCTCTCTCTCTCTCTCTCTCTCTCTCTCTCTTCTCTCTCTCTCCTCTCTCTCCTCTCTCTCTCCTCTCTCTCTCTCTCTCTCTCTCTCTCTCTGCTCCTCTTCTCCTTCCCTTCCTCTCTCCCTCTCTCTCTCTCTCTCTCTCTTCTCCCTATCTCTCTCCTCTGCCTCTCTCCCTCTCTCTCTCCTCTCTCTCTTCTCTCTTCGTTCTCTCGTCTCTCTCTCTGCTCTCTCTCTCTCTCCTCTTCCTCCCTCCCTCCCTTCCTCCTCCCGCCTCCCTCCTCCTCCCTCCCTCGTGCCTTCCTCCTCCTCTCTCTTCTCTCTCTCTCTCTCTCCTCTCTCTTCTCTCTCTGCTCTCTCTCTCTCTCTCTCCCTCCCTCCTCTCCCTCCCCTCCCTCCCCCTTCCCTCTTCTACTCTCTCTCTCTCTCTCTCTCTCTCTCTCCTCCTCTCTCCCTCCCTCCCTCCCTCCTCCCTCCCTCTCTCTCTCTCTCCCTCTCCCTTCTCTCTCTTCTCCTCCCTCCCTTCTCCCTCCCTCCCTCCCCTCCCTCCCCCCCTCCTCCCCCCTCCCTCCCCTTCCCTCTCTCTCTCCTCTCTCTCTCTCTCCTCTCTCTCTCTCTCTCTCTCTCTCTCTCTCTCTCTCTCTCTCTCTCTCTCTCTCTCTCTCTCTCTCCTCTCTCTCTCTCTCTCTCTCTCTCTCTCTCTCTCTCTCTCTCTCCTCTCTCTCTCTCTCTCTCTCTCTCTCTCTCTCTCTCTTCTCTCTCTCTCTCTCCCTCCCTCCCCCTCCTTCCTCCTCTTCCCCGCTCTGCTTTCTCCTCTCTTTCAATCACTATATTTTCTTTTTATTGGTGTGATGCTTTAACCTTCTTTGTTGCTTCTTAATGAGCATGAGTTGGAATTGGTTTAGATAAAATTATGAAATATTAAATTTACAAAGTATGAAGGTCTTAACTCTTGGCAGTGCAAATTGTTAACAAATTTCTTAT